GCCACAGTCCAGCTACAGATCGGGGGGCTCCATCAATTATTGACTGGTAGGCAAATTGCGCATCACCAAGGCGGGTGTGGCAGTTCCCTTCCGGAACCTGCCTGATATGATATGCGAATTTGTGGCTGCGAACAGAGATATGGTATGTCTGTGCTGATACTTCTTACGCGACAAGTCCGGCAGCTATCTGGAAAGCATTACCGAGACCCGCGCAGCTGAGTCAAAGTCCACAACTTATCATTAACATCCTGCCCCACTGCAGTGCCTGAGACAGAGGCAGGCTCCAGGTGCTTCCGAAGTAGTGGCTGCCATTGCGCGTGAGCCTAGGTCACGGAGTAAGTAGCTCTGCTGATTTTGAGCATGACGAGTTTGAGTCTAATGATTCGGATTTGCAGGATCACTTTCAAGCTTTTGGAACAGCTTCCAATCACTACCTGAGACTGTGACTAATTGCTGCATGAAAGCCAAAAAGCCAGTTTTAAGTCTTCCTGACTTGCGTCAGAGTCTGAATCCGGAGTTTGTTACTGAGGTTACATTTGGTATATAGTCTTGCAGTTGGTCAGCTGCACGAGCTGAGCACAGGCTGAACACACACATTGCCTGCATTTAGTTTCGGCCCTGGGCACTGTTGAGGCGCCTCCGACTCTCTTTGCAAGCCCCCTTTGCAAGCCTCCCTTCGAGCAGTTCCTTCAACCTTTTCCAGATTTCCCTGTTTCCTGATTGACAAGCCCCGAACTGACGGAACGAAGATGCCACACGGCAGCGTTTAGGGGTGGTTGAAGCGAAGAAAACGACATGAGAGCATTGTGGAATCACTACGACTACCAACATGAAAGAAGGAGAAGCTGCACGAAATCGATTTAGGGGGTGACAAGCAAACAAAAAAGTGAAAGGCGGCAGAATCGAATAGAAAGCCAGGACAAGTGTGAAGGCCCAACCCCAACATTTCCACCAAGCCCGGGACGCTGTGAGTGGCCGGAGAACTTCCAGACGGAGCTGTACTGGATGCCCTACACCGAGAAGGATGCGCTTCCCTCTGCTGGCAGGAGTACAAATGTGAGTCCAGCTGCACCTTCCCGAAAGCCTGGCCCTGAGTCAGCAAGGGTCAGAAGTGGGCTAAGCAGATAAAGGCCATGAACTCCAACCTAGAAGTGATGATCTCCTTCGGTGGCTGGAACCAGGGGCCTGGAGACCAGAACCTGGACTGCTACCAAATCTCCGGCTGCTGGCCTAGCGGACGAGCTGGCACAACTCAATGGCGGATCCATAGATGGCATTGACCTGGATTACGAAATGTCTGAGGACCTTTCGTCTGGCAAAGGCGTGGCGGCTCCTACACGAAGCTCTTGCGGGAGTACCCCGGTTGCAAGAAGGACCAGATGGCGATCCAGTACTACAACAATCCGAAGTTTGCCATCGGTGTAGACGATGACAACATCGCCAAGAATTACTGGAGTGCAGTGGAAGACATGGGTGGCGACGCTTCGAATGTGCTCCTGGGCCTCTGCTTCGTCGACTGCAATGATGGTTTCAGGGCCTACGATCCCAGCTTCCCGGCGAAGAGTCAGACCTTGGCGCCCAACTTGCTCAAGAACGTATTGTCCAAAGGCAAAGGCTTCCAAGGCATCATGATCTGGGCCAACCCTCAGTCGAAGAAGAGCAGCAAGTGTAAGGATGCCAGCGGGAAGGATGACGGCTGCTTTCCGCAGATGCCGGCATGGCTGGACACTGTCTGCTACTCCGTGGAAGGCACGCCAGCCCTTGAAACCTGAGACATTCATGGCTTCAGTCCACAGCCACCTTGACAGAGGGACGTGTTTGAAGTTTTGCTACAAATGCCGGGGCCAACGAATTCAATGCAGCCCCAAGCCTTCTGATCCCCGAAAGGTTCGAGGC